TTCCTCTGATCATTCGCTCTGTGGGTGAATTATGCGGCCGGCTGCATGGACGTGTAATGGCAATATGTTCACGTCAGGATGGATTGTTATGGTAGGATGGATTTTCTGCACCGGCGCCGGAGTTTCCTCCCTGCAGCACATGGCGGGTGACTGATGTCTTACAAAGCCCGGCGGAGGCAAGACCGCCGTGGTTAATAAGATGTAACGTACACGGAGGCCGTGGACGCTCCTTTATGTGAGGAGGCTGCAGCTCTGTGGTTGCTGCTCTTTACGTTGCCGGGGAGTGTCCAAGCAGTCTCTTACTGTTAGACGCTGCTATTCTCATCATGTCTCACCTGTTCTTGATTATCCTCCATCCTCCTTTCCCGGGTTCCTGCTCTGTCACTCCAACCCTCTGCGTGCCATCAATCTTCTCCGTGGTCTTCTTCGTTCCTCCTCCCTCGCAGCCGTCTCCATTTTCCAGTCATCGCTCCTCCTTTCAGAGTTCCTTCTCTCACCTTTACACTCCTGCCCTTCCTTTCTCTCTCGCTGCCTCCTACGATGCCTTCCCCCTCTCCTCTTCCTCTGTGTGCCAGCAGTAGCACCACCGCCGCCCTGTTGGCCAACAGCACTGGACAAAGTTAGCCTGACTCTTTCCACATTTCTCAAATACACCAGATCTAAAAGTCGCTGCCTAACTGTGAAGCACAAACCCAGCTGTGAACACGATGATGTGACTGACAGCATTTCCATCTCCAGCACTTCTGTGAAATGATTTCTGTGATGTGCATGGGGCAGATGCTGCAGAGAGCCGAGCTGCTGCTCTGCTCGTTTCTCACTATCAAGGGACAAATAAAGCTAGCAATTCCCCAAATGCTCCAGTAGTCCGTTAGCCTGAGTCAAGAACTGACCTTATTGTGTAATTTATAAATGTACATGTAATTATTTTATCGTCCGGTTGAGCTTCTCGGGTTGTACAGTGTGCCTGCTGTCAGTATTTGTCTCCATGGCTGCAGACAGATTTCCCTCAGGGAGAAATCGAGTTAAACCTGAATGTTGTCCAAACACCAAATACACCTGTGGGTTGTTGTCCGTCCTGCTCCACCGTGTTTCCTTTTGTCAATGCGCTGCTGGTAAAACCCTATCAGCCCTATTCTGCTGATGGCTGTTTAGCCTCCGATTAGTTAACTGTCAGCGCCCAGTGACAGCAAACAGCCACCTTTTAAACCGCTTCATGGAACGGGCTGCATAGTTTTCATAAATTGCATAGTTACGTCACATATATAAGAGATGTTTCACCCCAATATTTAATAGACTTTTCTGTGAGTTTCGGACGTATTGGCTGTAGGTACGTCTCCCTTCTCTACAATATAATGAAGCTAAATTGCTGTTGCTGTGTGCTGCCCAGCAGCATGACCACCAAACACGACTCGGTTACTCCGAAAAAGCTGTAAAAAAAAAAGCTTGAAAGTTAAACTTGAGCTACATGAACATCAAACACACTGTTTGGCCCGTTTGGTCTGTGCGTCCCTGCAGACCTGCTGATCAGGTTGATGTTGTGGCTCTGTGAGCTGCAGGGATGCTGGCTGCAGGTCGAGAATCTGTTCGTGTACCGCTGCGCTCGCCCAGCGCTGAAAAGCAGCAGCTGCAGTCCAGAGGTGTGGAAGTCCGCAGACCTGACGAGGCAGCTCGTTAGTCCGTCTGCAGCAAACACAGTGCGATTCTGTTGGAGCCTGAGTGCACAGAAGTCTCCCTTAAACATCTCCTGCAGGTTTTTCTGTCTTCTTTGCTGCAAACTGCTTAAACTGGAACTCGAGTGCAAGTTTGCAAGCGAGATGATGGCAGTTTGTTTACTTCCACCTACAACTTGGATTCTTCTGTGTGGAGCCAAGAAATCAGTTTTTCTTGGGAGCGTTTCATACTAACAGGGTTTCTGCAGTCTGTCTGCTGGTATGTTGGGAAAGTGTTCCTGCGCCTCTTCGCCTCACAGTACTGAAAAAGCTTCCTGGTATTGACATGCAGTATGCTGGTAAACTGCCACGTTGCATTGAGACGTTGAATTAGAGGCAGAAACAGATTAGCTTTTTTAATCCCTGAATGTGTTCACGCGGCCTCGCCGACACTCTCTGAAAGCGTGGAGGCAGAGTACAGTGTGCTTTGATGATGTTTCATCTGAATTCTTGTGATGTGGAGGTAATAGCTGTGGCAGATCTCCAGAGTGAGGACGGCCGATGTGGAGGCGAGGCTGTTAGCTGTTAGCCGAAGGCAGCGGTGCATGGCTGCCGCCGCCGCCGCCAGCTGCTCGGTCATTTCACGCCTGTCTGGGCTTCCTGGAGTGCACCAGCAGAGTGGATGAAAAACTCTGTCAGGAGGGGAACGGGCTCAGCGTGATGTGTTTTCAGCGTTCGCTGTCGCCAAACCTGCGATAAGAACTCGCAAAAGGACGACTTCTTTCTGTGGCGAGTTTTCGTCAGTCAGGGTCATTGGTTTACCCGCAGCAGGCAGGGCCGTCTCTTAATTTGGAAAGTATAACACATTTTTCTAAAGAATGCAAGCAGCAACCATTTAGATCAGGTTTCACACACACGACTCCAAATATCATATAACGTTTCAAATATAATGGTTAAGGCAGATTTTAGATGAATATTTGTCTCCACCAGCAGCTCGAGTCTTTGTGCTTTTCACTTTAATGGCGCACAAAATGTTCAGTTCCACTGATGCTTTTGTATCAAACATTGCAGAACATCACTACCCCGTGTTGTGTGCTGCGGGGCTCATTGTTCTTGCATCTTTATGACCTGTTGCATGTTTGTTTCCAGTCCTGCTGCAGGTTTCATCTGCATGAGTGCTTCTGCTTGATGCTTTCAGACAGTTTTGGAGGTATAACTGGATATGTGCATGACCTTGGCACAAGCATTGTTACAACAGCTTTACTTATTGTAAGAATGCTTCTTGTCAGTGACTCTTGTGCGACTGGAAACCTCCCTCTTGTTTCGTTTATCAAAATTTTCTAAATTGCCTGATTTGCATTTTCTTTGTCACAAACTACAATTTTGGTTTTTGCAAATCTTTTTGATCTATGAAACCTTCACCACATTTTTTCTTGTTAATTGAGAATTTTGATGCCATTTTCCCTTGAATTTCATGCTCCCCTAATGTGATGTCAGTCATGTGGAAAACATCCATTTTCAGGTCAATGACTGATTTCAGTGTATCTGAAAGGTTTCACATGTACTTTTCACTTAACACACCTTATTTACCTTTTTGCTTCCAGGTCTTTCTCTTAGGGGTGGGGAAAAAATCGATTCTGTGTAGTATCAAGGTTCAAGGTTCTTTATTTGTCACATGCATAGTTATACAAGTATAACACA